ATGGACCATAAATTTGTTCTCTCCAGACTTGTTCAGTCCTACATTGTCTACGGCTCTTCTGTTCTCCCTGGGATACCAGTTCATTTAACGCTGTTGTTCAGTTTGTTTTGGGTAAGTAACTGCTCATTGAATGTCACTAATCGACTTAAACGCTCCGATATGATAGGTCTGGTTGCCAATTCTTTTTAACTGCAATTTAAAGCAGTATTTTTTGGCAAGGTAACAGACTTTGAATTTCCCTACCGTCAACTTAGGGTGTCTGAGATTGCTGCGTCAATATCAGCAATCTTAACCGAGAAAGTGAAGTCTACCGTCGCTTCATTAGCACACAAAGTGTTTTGCATCCCAACTATATCCTTATTCACCAAATTAAGTGTGCTACGATAACAGACAAAGGCAGCCTTGTTGCTTCAGCACACTTTATAGGGAGTCAAGTACTGGCTCTGTTGAAATGTTTGTTAACTAGCTGCAAGAAATAGTTACATGAAACAGCTGTCTCAGGTTAGATAAACAGTTCTCACGTTGTACATAAATCTTTTAGGTCATAACGGTAGACCACTTTTGATTCAATGATAGCCGGATATAGATTTTAATTTGAAGTGACAGTATTACTGTAGAAACTTTGGAATCCAGACTCAACACAGTTATTTTTCCCAGCCGAATCATCCCAGATATTGAAACCACCCACTAAATTCAACGGTACCTACTCAAACGACAAGTTTGCAACAGAGCGTTACATCAAAGGCGTTCAAAGGAACATTCGAAAACGAAATCGAACACACAAGTGAATGTTAAAAGACATCTGATTCATAAAATGATGGATGCAGAGGTATTGTTATAGTCACATATGGGAATCAAGGTACAATACTTTTGGGGAGGAACCAGTGTTCCTCAAACTAGGACTTAAACATGGTGAAACTGGAAATAAATCCAGCCGACAAACTGGTCCTCCTGCATAAGACAACCTGTCCAAATACACGATGGTAGTTATACTGAATAGGCAAATAAAACAGACTATCGTTTTCTAAGTGCCAGGTTTTAGAGTAATAACAGCAAGTGGGACTCTCGCTTTGATGGGATCTTGATAAGAAAAGAAAATTGACTTGTAGAAACTGGGAGCAATATAGAGAGTATTTTCAGCGTGTCACCTCCAAATACGATCAAAACTGTAGATTCGAATTATGAACAGCATTAAATTTGTCAAACTTAACTATATGGTAAGGAATGAAGCATAAACTCGACAGCTTCTAATGCCCTCAAAATCAGCAAAGACGTTTGCAATGCACTTTTATAGGAGTGACCACTTCCAAGTATCTGAAAAGAAGAACTCAACTATTTTACAGATCGATGCTATTAACAAAACCAGCCACTAAGAAGAAAGTCAAAATACTCCCCCTTTTAATAGCACTTCAACGTCGAAGCGACCTATGTTGTTTTAACCCGTAAGTGTCACCGCTTTAGGAACTGTGCGCTGAAATCCAAATCAAATCTTCCTAATGGAAACTGACGATATGAACACTAGTGTGTCTTTCGAGATACGTATACGAGATGAAATACGATCTCCAAGTTCATTACGGGTATCTTCTGCCCGCAACCGTGCACCACTCAGTGAAATCGATCTGACCGAAAAACTCGAAAAAGCCAGTCAAAGACGATCAAGTGTTCTGGCAGTAATGCTTTATTTTTCACTACTTGGAATTCTAGGAAACAGTAAACAAAAGTGAGCAGCATGTCCAGTTTGTAAAATCAAGGATTGAGCAAGGCAAGGAAAAGATTCTAAACCGTTCCAACGAAATAATGGAGAATCTTGCCGAAGATTTGGCTTTAAAATCGTCAAGAAGACAACAGATTATCGACAAAATCGTTAATAGCAACAAAAAGGAGGTTTGTTGAATAGGCCTTATATGACGTTTAAGGTTGAAAAAGCAAAACTGCTCGCAGACGCTCGTTCATCTCCTCAAAGATCACTGCTCCAACAGATAAATGATGACATGTCGAATAAGGAGAATAATCGTCGCTCGTATATTCAGAATATCGTGCAGCAATGCCAGTCTGAGGTAAGACTTCGGTACTAATTTTCGAATGTAGCCGTATTATTCATGTTTTCATGCACTAGTTTGGGTTTATAGACACTGACATAGAAAACGGCATTGAGCTTCTTTCAAATAAGTTTTTGGAGTAATAAGGTGGGATTTAAGCCTTTTTGAGAAACAATGTCGCATCTCCACATCACATTGCCCCAATATTTTTAATTTGATCCTCATATACTTGGGGTTCTGTGCCTGCGTTTACCATACTGTTAACTGCCCAGTTAACCATTTGGTGATGAAGATATATTTATGTATATTACGTCCAAAGTTAAAGTCGTATGTGAATACAGACAAGTGTTAGACAGATGACGTCATGTTTATAAATGATCCTGGGCATTAGTGTATGTACAGGAGTGCAGAAAGTGGTGAATGTTATCCCTTCGCGACTAAATATCTGAATGGCACTTCTGTAGACCTGAGCATCGAACTCTTAAACTAGCAACTGAATATTTGGTGATCAGTGAAACTTGGGCTTTTATTAGGAAAGTCATCCGAAACACTTCACCGGCATCTTGTATGCGATTCTGGAGATGCATCACTCTTTAATGCTGAGGTTTCACAAGGTTCCGACGAAACCTATCTGTTGTCCAATCTACACGAATTAATCAACGTTTTTTCCGTGTCCAACTTATTTCAAGTGACACACTGTTGTAAATAATGTACCCGTATGTGCCTTAGTAGTGATATGTTACCGTCGTTAACGCTCCTGGAGTTAGGATTAGTTTGAAGAGATTCCCTGCTTACAGGCATTCGTTTCAACATCATTCAAGAGTCAGCTGCATACTTCTAGGGTGTGTTCATAACTTATTTCCCAGGATATTCAGATTATAAGGATAGAAGGCTCTTGTTGACTATGCTAATCCTCGCGATATACATCTCTGCAGAGACCCAGTTTCTTTTTGAAAGTGTTCACCGATGAAGCTGTTACTATTGAATCAGGTAAAGAGTTCCAGTCGTTGACCACTCTGTGAGAGAATCTAAACTCCCAACGTATTTTACTCGACCTAGGTTTGAGCACCTTGTGATGAGCTCGTAAATGTATCCTTGAGGGAGAGGAAAGGTTTGAAAGGTCAGTCCCTAAATCACACTTCTTTATACGGTAAGCCGAAATTAAGTCACCCCTTCTCCTTCGGTATGATAATGGGAAGAGATCTGAATGCTCCATCCTCTTATCATAAGGAAGGTGTGAGATACCACTGACTAATTTCGTTCCTACCCTGTGTACTCTATCTAGGATGTGTGCCTCCTTGAAGCATGGACTCACCGCTTCTATGCAGTGCTCTAGATGAGGTCTGACATATGTTGCATAGAGTACTTATAGCATACCCTCGTCTAGTCGTTTGAAAGCCCTTCGGAGTATCCATAGCATTCGAAAAGCCTTAGCTGCGGCTCGATAACAGTTTGCTGTTGTCTTGGCTTATAATAATTCCTAAGCCCTTTTGTCCCCTAATATCTTGCAGTTCTGTGTCCCCCATGGAGTACGACGTGTAAGACTTCTGACTTGGGTGTATTACCGCGCTTTTCTTGGAATTAATTTCCAGACTCCGAAGGTTAGCCCATTCGCCTAATTTGTCTGGGTCCTTTTGTAGTACCAACCTATCACCGTTACTGTTTACGGTTTTCCATATCTTAATATCGTCCGCTAATAGTTAGGAAGATGAGGTAAGAATTCCTACTGATAACTAAATATTACTGTATGAGCGCATGTTGTCTACTTCAAAGTTGACTTTTTGCTGATGCTACTGATACAGTTTGCTAATATTTTGTTAACTGATTATTACTGAGGTGTCATGTCAGGGGAACATCATTCAAATAGCTCTCATTAAGACTCTCTCAGTTCTCCATTGCAGGCACCAGCTGAAACGACCTTAGTTACCCAGAAGGTAACTGATGCAGAAACTAACATTGGTACCTTTCGACTAAGAGTTGTGTTTACGGCACCCGACAACTTTACTTCAGATTGGATCACAGGCTTTACATCAGAGCTCAAAGCCAACCCTCATGCCATGAGTTAATGACGTTGCCTCCCTGAGGAACACATCTAATACTCATTCTGGGGCCACGTTCATCCATTTCGACTTCAGCTGGCATGTTAAGTGTCTAACTCCATATAGTTTCGTCAAAATTTTTACACCTGAGGGTTTTAAACCCTTTGTGTCTGTATTGATTTCAACATTGGCACACGTGTGCATGAAATGGTGCGCACTTGTAGCTCATACAGAAGCGACAGTCTTTAATCCATTCATTCCGTCTGATATGTTGTCTACATTTGGCAAATGTCTATGAAACTATTCAGTCAAATTTTGACCAGAGTTCGTAAGGAAATTATCTGTTGTGACCTTGGTGTCAACAAGTAAGACATGCATTAAGTCACTTTATGGTAAAGCTTGTTCTCAGTTAATATCAGTACAAGAGTTGCCAAGAATACATCTGCTTTCGGTATGAACATAGTGCTGAGAATCTTATTGGAATCTTGAACAGAAAAACATTTGCATACGGACCTTGGTCGTTCTACTAAGATAGATTTCATGTACTATTAGTAACTACGTATAGTTGTAACCTTAAACTTTCAAATCATTTTCTACAATATTTGTATTCTCCTTTCATGTACCTGAATATATAAATATCTGTCCAATTTCATTTTAGATTGAAAAGGTTGAATCTGCGCGTTCTCGACGTTCGGCCAATAATAGCAGTGCTGATTGAGTTACCAAATTATCTTTTTTTATGACGAATAATGCATTTCACACTATCTCTGCTATTCATATATATATTCTTTGAGATGGGACTATAAATAAATTTGTATAAATGTACTACTTTTTATACCTATTTGTAATGAGTTGTTATCATCAGTTCACAGTTGTATGAAGCCTTGTGAGTTTCCGAAGCAAAAAGGAACGGAACTACTCTATGTATAACAAGCAGATTTATTTAACAGTTTAACTTTTGTACAAAGGGGCGAAATATTTGTGCAGTATATATATTGTCAAGTCATACTCGAAGAGTTTTATTGGAACGCATTTGTTTGGCGGTTGACAGAACGAAGCATGTGCTGACCGAATGGCTGTAAAAAAAAGTACACATGAAAAGTGAGTTAACACACACAAACAATCAAAGCAGTTGTAGTTAAGATCATTGGACCCATTACCTTACAATCAGGCAAACATTCCAACCACTGGGTACAAGTCAACTTTAAGGATAAACATTTAGGTTGGTGTGGTTAGTTAGATAATTCGCATTATTGCGCAATAGAAACGTATTACTGCGTAACAGGGACTATAGCTGCAATTCTGTATGAATGTAGAGGATGCTACGTTAAACAAATGTAGAGACTGGTGTTTGGAAATGAACTCGACAGTACTATCGTTTTTACTTCTTTCAGCAACAATACTTCCATCTCACTCTGTTCTCTGCAGTTTTTTTTGCTAAATCCACGACTGTGTATAAGCTTGCATCTCCACTGTGTTGATGTCGGAAGGGTTCCTTTGCAGGGTTTGGGGCTCGATGATCTCAGCGTGTGTCCGACTCCCCATCTCCATCCCTTTCGGTATACTTGGTGGGTTCGTCGCCAGAGTTCCTTGTTGCTTATCCCTTCTTCTCGGCCGTTTGATCTTTAGTTTAGAGCCGTGAAAGTCTGGAAATGTTCATGACGTCCTACGTCTCTGAACTATATAGAAGCATTAACTTGAAATAAGCGTTGAAAATTTGAATCTGAGTGCTTTAGTTTTCTACAGTGATTTCGAGTAGCTTCGACTTCCTCATTTGTGCAGTTGTGTAGTTGAAAGGATGCTATCTAGATAAGTGAAGGAAGTGACCTCTTTCAAACTACTTCCGTTGATAGTGATTGTTGTTGGTTGGTCATCTTCAGCACTTCGGCCTTATCTATGTTCACTTGAAGTTCTGTCTTTGCTGCTTCTTCTCCCAACTTGTTGGTTTTCACCTGTAGACCTTCGTGAGTGTGTGTGTGTGAAATTCGGCATAAATCGCCCACGAAGTCCAGGTCTAGAGTCAGCCCAAAACATATGAATGTCTTTATCCTCCCCAAGCACTGTTCGTCCCATGGTCCAGTCCTTTGGGAACAAGAATATCACTGGTTATAGCAGGCAGCTTTGCCTTATGTCTGTCCTCACTTAAGGACTTCACTGAGTTTTTCGCTGTGAATCACTTGATAGCTGAGATCGGCAAAGGTTTGAAGCAGTCTGCAGCGTTGAAGCAACTTCTAAATTACTTCACTATCAACGCTATCGAAGGCCTTTTGAAAGTTCATGTAGAGATTTGACTGACATTCGATCTTCGGTTTGATAGTGATGCGTAGAGTTGCAGTTTGGTTCGCATAAGGCTTGCTTTTCCTGAATCCAGCTTGTTTAAGGCTGAGTTTTGTACACCCAGAACATATTTTAGTCTCTCATGGATGACGCGACTTAACATTGTGCTTGGCGTGGACAGAAGCAAGATTCGGCGGCAGTTTCTCCAAAGGCTTAAGTCGTCCTTTTTTGGTAGTTTGACAAAGTAGCTCTTCTTCTAATTGGTCGGTATCTCTCTTTCCTTCCAAACCTGCAATAGTGGCGTGAGGATATTCGCTGAAGTCTCTGGATACGTTTTCACTGCTTCTGAGGAAATTCTGTTTGGTCCTGCTGTCTTCCTAGCTTTTGATAACTTCATGGTATTCAAGACACCTCCCTTTGTCAGCAGATTGGTGTCCATCGGCGGTAGCAGTATTTTTGGTCGAACTTCGTCTTCACTTCCTTGAGATTGAGGCTAAATCTGTCTGAATTTTGGTGCATTCATCTAACGAAACCCACCTCACCTAGTGCTTGTACACGTTGCCTCCAGTCACCAACTCATTGAAAGTTTAGAAGTCTGAGAAGAGTTCTCCGCTCTCATTCATTTCGCGAAGAGCCTCTCTACCCAAGATGAATTCACTTCCCGCATCATCTCCTCCCAGTCTGCTGCTTTTTTATGTAGCCCAATAGGACTTTGATGTCACCATCAGCGACAGGGGCTTGTCCATTACAGTTTGTAGTTGTCTGTAGAAGTCCTTCTTCTCTTAGTCTATGTTGTTTGTAGCAGCGTAACGATATAATTGTAACTTTCCTACCTTTTTAGTTGAATCCTCCTGTCATGATACTGGAGGACATTGATTCCCAACTACATTCGATGATATTGGTGACACCATGAAAACCACTCTCTCAGTGTACTGGTCACTATGGTGACAGGTGTAGATAATTAACTCTCCAGTTAACAAGTTAAAGAGTTTATTTCATCTGCCCACACAGATTCCCAGTACTTCTATGCTATATCTTATTATTTGTTTTGCAATCTGAGCAGCCTTCAAAACTTCAAACATCCTATGGACATTCCATGGCCCCATGCTTATTTTTGCTTTCAACGAGAGCAGTCAACGCATCTGTCGTCTGGCTTCCCGAAGCCTTTTTCCCAAGTCCGCACCATCTTATCTCTCCGATTCCAGCGGAGAATAAGTTTGTTCATTTGTTATATTTTCTTATGTGCATTGAAGTTTCTGTAGCGGTTGGTTAGGTTGACTGACATTCCAAGGTAGGATAGCTAGCCCCCCACACATAACCTCGCTTCTTTTTTCTCGGGCTTAGGACCGACCGGCTAGTGAACTAGGCGCGAGGCGAGTACCAGTGATAATTTATGGAGTGCAACTCGAAGCTAACTGAAATTAAGAATGCGCTTAAATCGAGGGAGAGCGAAACTTGATAATTTTATTCAGCGGAATTTAAGAACGGCAGTCAGGAATCCCTGGATATTTATTGGAGGATTAAACCGAAAAATGCTTTCCTCACCGACCGATCCGAATATTCCCTACTACTATACAGGTAAGCGTTGAAGTATTATTATTGTTCCCTTGGATTCCTAGTGGAACATAGGGCTTCAACTGCACGTCTCCACTTGCTTCTGTCTTCCCTCTGCTGTACTTTTCACCTGCATCCATGTCAGTTAGTCCATACTGTTTCAACTCCTCTTCACACTATCTCCTCCATCTCACCCTTGCATTGACGTCCCTCTCGTCGCTTCCCTTTCGGGTTCCACTTGAGGGCCTGACGCGCGATGTCACCAACAGGCCTCCTCAGAGAGTGTCTAATCCATCTCCACTTTCTACTGCATATTTGCTGGGCGGCTATTGGTTCTTGTTTTGTTTGTTCTCCGTCAGAGTTGCTTGCTGATGATTCTTTCCGGCCCGGCCATCTGGTCTTCAGTATAGAGCCAGCGAAGACAGTTGTTGGTTGATAAAGGTAGGCATGCAACAGGCTGTTGGAAATATTCTTTGTGACCCGCCCGCCATGTTTCTGATCCGTATAGGAGAGCTGACTGACTTGACGTTTGTATTGGAAATCCTACCGGATTTTGTTGCTGATGCGGAGTTGAGTGACGAAGATTTCCAGATTGGTTTCAGGTTGGTTGATGAATGTGTTTCTCACCTTCCCGATTCTCGCTCGATTTGACATCCCCATCCGTTCCGACTGCCTGTATTTGAGACAATGCTTCCTAGATAAGTGAATGAAGTAACCTCTTTCAAATCCCTCCCGTTGATGATGATTGGCGCTGGATGTTGCTGTTGTTGTTGGTGGTTGGTTGGTTATTTTCATAACCTCCGTCTTGTCTATGTTCACATGGAGTCCTGTCTTCACCGGCTGCTTCTTCGACCAGTTTGCTGGTTCCCGCTTGTAAGTCTTCGATTGTGTGTGACATAAAACATAAATCATCCATGCGCGAAATCCAGGTCTTCTAGGTTCTTTACGTTGGTCCAGGATATCCCTGTCTTCTCGTTTCCCACTGTCTGACGCATAATCCAGTCCACCACAATTAGGAATATCATTGGGGATAATAAGCACCCTTGTCTGACTCCTGTGTTTACTCCAAACGCCTTGCTGAGTTTTCCGTTGTGGATCACTTGACATGTGCCGTTGTCGTACAGCTGATGAATAAGGTTGATGAATAAAGCGTTGAAGGCTTCTTATAATTTTAGATAAAGTACATAAATCTATGCCAGTGTGAGGGATTTTTAGCCGAATCAGTAATAGTCTCCTAGCCATAATTCTTCTTAACTCGGGGTCTGTAGTCTTGGCTGAATATGTGACTTAGATTAACAGTCATTGATAACATGGGTTGGTGGTATGTTTTAAAGTCACCATTCCTATTTCTTCTCCAAACCCCATCCTACTTCAACTACTTTGGCTCGTTAGGGAACACACAATACAATACTCGGCATGCGTGACACCTATCTCTCGGTGGAGCTTATCATCTCAGATAAGGTGTTTTTAAGATAAATAAATTCATATTGTAAGGGAAACATGTCTCTTGTTGTCTAAAGAGAAATGTGTTTCCTAAAATAATTGACCAAAGATGCAACACATCTGTTTTAGTAAAACTGAAAGATGATAAACTGTACATACCAATGAAGGAGTGGGGAGAGGAGGAGGCGAAGGAGAATCATTGGTTTTACGTTTAGGCGACCAAATATCATCGCATCCAGGTCCAAGACCAGAGTCCAAAGGAATTTTAGACTGAGAACTGTTCTCTTCATCACTGACTGAATTATCCATCAAGGAACGAAGATGTGAAAATTTCGCCTGTAATGCTCTAGCAATAATAGCACATGGATCAGAACCACTAAAAAGAGGGAAAGCAACAGTTAATTTGTGATAAATATATATACAGAAATTGATGAGAGTGATAATGTGTACTATTGTTAGTTATGTCAGTGACTACAAATACTAATACACTACTTAATATTACTAACAACAATGTTTGTGTTTAATTACTACAAAAACTCACCTGAAACCTACTCACCTATAACCTTGGAATAATTTTGTCCTCTGTATTCTCTTGATCATCCCCAACCTACCTACATTAAGGAGTTAAAACGGTTATGTACTGGTCGCCATTAGTTTATGGGGTAGTCGCCAATATGGCGAAGTTCAACAATAGCGTCCTAGGAGTGCGAACGCTCCAATGACCTTGAACGCATGCTAGTCGTTGGCTAATGGCACCACCTGTCATTACCATAGCTGGTATATATCGACGCTATTCACCAACTTAGGAGCAAATTTCACCCAGATCACGTTTTTAAGGACTGTTTGGACACTGTGTTAATAGCTCCTTAGGGTTAAGGTAAGTATTGGGGTTAGGATCAGGGTTAGAATTACGGTTTAGATAAGGGTTATGCTTAGGGTTAGGACTAAGGTTAGTGTTAGGGTCAGGATTAAGCTTATGGTTACGATTAGCGATAGATTTACAGTTGATGTCATTTATTTTAATTTGTTTTATTATCCACGTTTTCCTGGTAAGTAGTCATCTATCCTTTTGCTGGAAACCATAACAAATCAACCGAGGGCTGTTTTGGAAGACTGCATTCAGGATGAGATAAACAATTCGCAAAAACAGTTTATCTGCAGTCATCTCGGTGAATACATGTACAGAAACTAGTCTAACTTACCAAGTGATACTCCTTGATATAATTAGGACGTAGTTTTAAGTCATGTCAAAGAAAGATGCCGTTTAATGTGTTTTCATGCATTTTTCTTGTCAATATACATCATTTTATGATTGGTCAGCTGAAGGTTACTCGTGCGTTCACACTCCTGGGACGCCACTGTGGAACTTTGCCGCCAATATTATGGTGTGACCGAGTGTAAATACGCGCTAATGAGATATAACCGACGATAACGTACAGACTGGTATTGCTTAGTGGTTGATTTCTCCTGACGCAAAGGTGGGAAATCAGAAAACCACGTTCACGAAGATACGTGTATTTTTCAACAAGGAAAATTAACTGTCACACAAGAGTGTGAGTGGAAAAGTACGAAAGGTATGAAAGAGTGTCAATTAGCTGTACAATACAAGAGCCCCAACGAGTTGATCTCTGACGAAATCTCAGCACGGATACAGAGGGCTAGTTTCGCATATGCCAGTTTACGCCGCCTCTGGTGTAGACATGATATCCGACTATCGACCAAAAGGCGGGTGTACTGCTCATCAATCCTCTCCGTCCTTCTTTATGGCTGTGAGACCTGGTCATTGAGGGTGGAAGACATGAAAAGGCCGACTAACTGCCTTTGATCATAGGTGCCTGCGTTCTATCTCCCATGTGAGTGGTAAAATAAGGTGAGCAATATTGAAGTTAGGCATCGGTCGAGTGCTGGTTAAGGAGGGGAAATCAATCGACGAGGCGGTGAAGCTACATCGACTGAGATCGCTAGGACATGTGTTACGTATGCCTAGTCATCGCCTTCCTCGACGAGCAATGTTAGCTGATATAGGGTCAGGCTGGAAAAGAGCTAGCCAGTGGTGGTCAAACCAAAACATGGCACCGGTCAATGAGATCCACAACAGTTTGTTTAAGCCAACTACGTAGGAAGGTGTAGACTTCCTGACTAGTTGGGGTCCTCGGGACGGTAAAAACCAATGGTTGGAAACAATTAGTGATATAGCTCAAAATTGTTCTCAATGGCTAAACGTAGATGCATCCACTCCTTGTAACTTATGATTGACAATGAAACTGTTTTGATCTTCGTTATTACTATTCCTTTGTCTCACACCTCTGTTTACTGTCTCTATTATGCATTCCATTTTACTTTCTTCTCTTGCTTTGTGTGCTACATGGAGGGAGTGTAGCGGCTTGAAGTTCCGCACATTTGTGTAAAGTTCTATGTCGAAAACAGACAGACATATGAAAATGACTAATTTACATGAACCAATAAGACAGACGGTAGTTTTTCTTACCATCATTCAATTCTGATTGGTTGTAATGCCATGTGACAAAAGGTCATACATTGTTTATTTAGTTAATGGAATAAGTTTCAGTATACATATAGCAAACATATCAGACTGTCAAAACAAAGCAGACATCATGTGACTACATATCAAAAACAATCAGCAGTCACTCAACATCTACCTCTTACAAATTGTTACCTCCTGCATCACCTTATCGATCCATTGTTCTTTATTGTTCCCCCTTAGTTCTGTTTGGGCTACTCGAAGAGGACTAATGTCATATTTCAAAGAGTATTAAGGAGGGTGATCAGTAGGGCAAATGGTGTGTCACTAAGTCAGCTCTGTTACTACTGTGGTCAACAGATATCTGAATTTATACAAGAAATAGGCTAAATCAACATTCAAGTGTTGGTTTGTAGGGATTTGATTGGTTTACAGGATTTCATCATGAGCTGACATTAGTTAGAGAACCATTGAAAGACCTGGATAACTGTTTCGTCATAGTTTGGGACTCTTCAGAAGTTCGCACCCACCGACAGGGTTCGAACCCAGGACATTCTGGTTACAAGGCGACCTCGTATACCATTAAGCCACTGGGACCCTATCCAATGATCAGCCCATGAATTCTAACTTCTGTCAATTCACGACATAGCGCGACCCCAAGCCAATGTCTTCGGCGAGTATTTGTCCTCATACCCGACGTTCTGCACCCTACTGGTCATTGCGGTTCGAACCCATGATGAAATCCTGTAACCAATCAATCAATCAAATCCCTAAAAACCAATACTTGAATATCAGTAAGATGCTCACTAGCGACTGGCTCTATTCAGGTAGGTAGTTACCTGGGGTTCTAGTGAAAAGTTGTGACCAGTAGGGTGCAGAACGTCGGGTATGAGGACAAATACTCGCCGAAGACATTGGCTTGGGGTCGCGCTATGTCGTGAATTGACAGAAGTTAGAATTCATGGGCTGATCATTGGATAGGGTCCCAGTGGCTTAATGGTATACGAGGTCGCCTTGTAACCAGAATGTCCTGGGTTCGAACCCTGTCGGTGGGTGCGAACTTCTGAAGAGTCCCAAACTATGACGAAACAGTTATCCAGGTCTTTCAATGGTTCTCTAACTAATGTCAGCTCATGATGAAATCCTGGCATAAATCAACATTGTCTAACTCTCAGATCCCTCTCTGTTCACATCTTTTCCAATGAATCTAGTCGGGTAGGACTGAAAGTCGTTATAAGAACAAAAGCTCAACGATAACCTATTTGATCCGCCCGCGTTCTATGTGATAGAGAAAGTGTTAAGCGTGAAAATTATAACTACTTACTCTATATAATTAGCAAAATAAATGACTCCTTTTTTGCTGACACTGTGTGAATTATCTTATCATTCCAGTCATTATTGTTATTATCATTATAATCATATACTTTTCATACAATTTTGACTTTATCGTTACTCCTAATGCCAAAAAGGTTGCTATAATCAATCTCGGTTACCTAAACCATGTGGTGTCTTCTTGTTGTTGTTGAGTAGATTAGATGCAATATAACCTATTCTGGACACTGGAAACCATGGAAACTCACCTTCTAACATTACTCTCCTGCCTTGTGGATCGTAATTCAAGTCAAAGATCCGGGGTGGGAGGGAGAGTGGGATGAGCAATTAAGACAACCATCACTTGCTTTAGTTTATGTGTTCAGGTAGTATCATCATCACATCCGCCCACAAACGACAACATTTTGTGTAACGAACCATCTCTTCGTGCCCATAATGTACCAAGTTTGTGTAATAATAATAATAATAATTATTATTATTATTATAGTTACAACAGAAACAGCCAATAAAATGACTTTCTAATAACACTCCAATCTTACCTGTGGATGGGGGATTTCTTTTGTCTTATAGGTGTACCGCCAGGTGATCTCGGAACTGTACGTAATTTAATAGATCCAGTCTGTAGCTCCTTCAAAACACTTGACATATCACCACCACCTGCACCACCACTGGCAGAATGTTGGGATGCTGAAAGGCTGCCTTTTAATGGTGTAGAGATTTTATCTGAAGAATTATTCTGAAAAGAAATAATGCAAAGGAAGACACACATAAAAGGTAAACTGATTTTCACTATAACGTCTACTTATCATCTTAGAAGTAATATTAATAATACTAATAATTCGCTTTATTCTAAAACAGTACTTGTGATACAGAATGGAATTCTCAGCATTTTACTACAGTACTGCATCCAGTTAATACATTAACAATAAATATACTTCTACATAGATTAAGAGTAATCTCAGTTAGTTTTTGACAACAACATATTGACATGTCGGTAGCAAAGCCAAAAATTGAACAGTGTTTGAAGGTATAAGAAAAGTAGATGCTAGCATATCGACTGGCGTAAGCGGTAAAAAAAAGGTCAAGATATACAGAGTGTGAAAGAAGGAAGAACAATGTGTTTAAGTAGAGTTTGTAAGGAAGAGAGAAACAAAACAGCACAAAAAAAGAAAAGAAAGAAAGAAAACGTTATACCTATAAATGATATGCGTTGGAAAGACGAGACCCAATTGTTCTACTGACTATTTAATAAGTTATAAATTTCACGCCTAATGCTTTCTTTATCTCAAAGAACACGAGCTAAGTAGGGTATAGTTGAGTTTTTGTACTTGCCAGTGTGAGCATATAGTTTCCTATAGAGGCTTCTGGTTCTGCCTGATGAGATACAAGGGGAGAGTTGTGAATGGAGAGGGTGGTGGTGTGTGTTAGATAGAATGGATTTAGCCCATTTTTCACATGAGTTCAAGTGCCTGTCGACCAGAATATTACCAAGCTGGTTAAATGGCACATTGCTTACCCTACTGACAACCTTTAACATCCTACGTAATAAGATATAGTCCTTCTTCAGTAGCCCTGGAATAACTAAGGGGGAACAATAGAGAATAATAGGCAGGATGCAAGAGTTAACGGATCGTAAGAGTAAGGGTTAGGTTATTCCAGAATAAACCAAGTAGTAAGACAATTAGACACAGGAACACAGGTCTACATTGCAATTACTTGGCTTAGTTGACCTTTCGAACATATTTACATAGCATTGGAGTGGGAGAGAGATAGAGAAAACGGTTGACATGAGTATATAAGTTGTTTCACGTTAGTACATATGTTATGTACAGATTAAAGCAATGATGATTAGAGGTAGTGAAAAGAAAGTCTGGATCGTAGCAGGATTCGAATCAAAGTCCTCCGGATTAGTAGTCCGACAGAGATCTACCGACTGAAGACTAAGGGACCCAAATGCAATCATGGAATCAGTCCCCATGAAATCGTTAACAGTTGGTAAAAAGTTAGCCAGCCATGTAAGGAATGATGTTAGAGGACTGGACTACACCAACTCCTAGATTAGAAATAGGAAGTGAAGTGGTAGAGCATGTTAACCGCTTCACTTATTTGGGAAGTACCATCAGCCAGCGCCAACGGGTTGATCTCTGACGAAATCTCAGCACGGATACAGAGGGCTAGTTTCGCATTTGCCAGTTTACGCCGTCTCTGGCTTAGTAGACGAGATATTCGACTGGCTGTCGACCAAAGGGCGGGTGTACTGCTCATCAGTCCGCTCCGTCCTCCTTTATGCCTGGCTGTGAGACGTGGCCATTGAGAGTGGAAGACATGAAAAGGCCGACTAACTGCCTTTGATCATAGGTGCCTGCGTTCTATCTCCCGTGTTAGCTAGCTGGTGGTATAATAAGGTGAGCAATACTGAGGTCAGGCATCGGTCGAGTTGTAGTTAAGGAGGGGAAATCAATCGACGAGGCTCTGAAATTACATCGACTGAGATCGCTAGGACATGTGTTACGTATGCCTAGTCATCGCCTTCCTCGATGAGCAATGTTAGCTGATATAGGGTCAGGCTGGAAAACAGCTAGCGGCGGTCAAACCAAAACATGGCACCAGTCAATGAAATCTACAACAGTTTGTTTAAGCCAACTACGTAGGAAGGTGTAGACTTCCTGACTGGTTGGGGTCATCGGGACGGTAAAGACCAATGGTTGGAAACAATTGGTGATATGGCTCAAAATCGTTCTCAATGGCTAACGCAGATGCATCCACTCCCTGTGACTTTTAATTTCCAATGAAACTGTTTTGATCTTCGTTATTACTATTCCTTTAATGATAATAATAATAATAATGATTTACTTTATTCCAAAAACAGTACTTGTGATACATAAGGGAATTTTCAGCATTAATCATAATATTGCATCTAATTTCCTCAAATTGTAAATAAAATTAATCACACAGAAAATCTTCCACATTTACAATAGGGGTAATGTCAGAAATATGCAGCATATAAAATGCAAATAATAATAATGATAACCGCTAAGGTAATAATAATAATACAAGTAAAAATTGCTGTGAGCTTGTTTCACACAGTATTGTCGTTATATGCGGTATAGAAATCCTAGCATGTTCAAAAATATTGAATATAATCTTCTCTTTACATTATATAATGAGGGGAAAACAAAGATTACAGCAGTCACAGAGATAAGTTGGTTTTTGCAATTATGAGAGTAAAGCAAACAAAGAAGCAACAGGACCATAAATATAATAGAAATAATAAAAGTATAACTTGAAGGTATATAAGGATGGATGGAGGAAATTGTTTATTTACTAGATGAAAAAAGGTTAGTTAATTCTCGCTTGACACTATTTTCACTATCACATAAAATACGTGCCAAGTATGGTATCATAGAATTGTTATACTTAGACGTGCGAGCATACAGTTTTCTGAAGTTACTTCTTGTTCTACCTGAGGAGATGCAAGGTAAAAGCTGAGCGTGAAGTGGATGCTCTAAGTGAGACAAAATCCCTTTAGCAAATTTATTGCACGAAGCCAAGTGCCTATCGATAACAACATTAACTATGTGGTCCACTGGGACACCACTCACCCTACTGACAGTCTTCAGTATTCTACGAATTGTGACATCGTCCTTTTTAAGCAAACCAGGAAAGAATAAGGGTGAACACCTCTGTTTACTGTCTCTATTATGCATTTCTTCTCTTGTTTTGTGTGCTTCATGGAGTGTGGTGACTTGAACTGCTGCACATCGGTGCAAAGTTCTATGTCGAAAACAGACAGACAGATAGTATCGTTTAGCATAGCAATATGTATTATACATTTGAACAGTTTACGTATATACTGGTACCAATTTGGGTTAAATAACACTCGATAAATTAGTCACTTATACAAATAATCTGCCCTATGCCAGTAAGCCGATCAAGGTGAATTATTATCCGCATAAGCATGAACATAAGGGTTTGTTAATCTATGACGTAATCATAAAATATATATAACGTGTCCCCCGCGTGTGGAGGGGAGAATAAGCCATAGTCGCCAAGAATGAATCATGAACCCATACACCTACAGATCACGCCATGAGGTAATCACCAAAATACAGCCAAGCGTCTTAATAGAGACATTATAAATCGATCTGATGACCAACCAAATTCGAGAGCAAAAGGTTGAGGTTAGAGGTCAGTCATTACGATAATAATGTCACAATATAAAAATGGCAGTGATGGCGGTGTGTGTCTTTGTAGGTATATATGCACACTAAAAAAGGATTGCCATGTGTGCTAATTTCCTGTTTTACAAAGAAATAAACAAAGACATCAGAAAACATAAGTACATACACACACATACAATAGTATATAGAGCATTGTTATCAAAAATGAAGCTTAGTCATAAATGAGTCACAGCTTTAATTTTCAAAAATTAAGACAAAAAAAAGTTACATTCGAGTCAACGATTTTTTTTACAGTAAACATTGACACTTTGGGATAACAATTTTAGGGATCATTTTATATGACTAATGTATTTCATCACTAGGTAATGAATGACTTGGTGCCAGAGTATTTAATTCAATTTCAGATTTTCCTGTCGATTGATTAGATCGAAGTCCTCTTTCCCTGGTGCAGATGCTTCCATGATGTCTGGCCATGTAACTTGAAGTTAACTGGTGGATGGTGACTAGCAGTGGAATTCAGAATAACGCGCATTTCGTCCTATTTGGGACTTGTCAGCTGGAAGTGCCTGCATTCTCCAATGAGTTATGACCTTCCCACCACCGGGGCTCGAACCCAGTGCCCGTAGTTTCAAACAGCGAAGCATTATCCACTGGAGCGTTTGGGCCACGATTGGTCACCTCTTTCTTGTCCAACTGGTCCTATTGATTATTTAATTCAATTAATATTGATTGGCGTTTGAAACTAAGGGGACTGGGTTCGAACCCCGGTGGGGACACCATCACACTCCCACTGGGGAATGCAGGCACATCCAGTTGGCGAGTCCCAAGTGGAACGAAATGCGTATCCTGGCTGGATTCCACTGCTAGTCACCATCCACCAATTGACTTGATGGCACAGTGACTGTTGGGATAAAAATTAGACTATTTCAAGGGAATGACAAAGGGATGAGAGAGTTCTTAAACTATTTTCGGCTAAAGGTGATTATAAAACTGAACTCAACCAGAACAGATTAATCATTTGGCGTGTTTGTGTGGAGGGGAGAGAAACTGATTACACTATCCAGTTGGCCAGGTTGAAATAGGTGAAGTAAGACTCGAGGTCTGAACCGACGGACTATCAAAACCGAGTGCATTAGCTAATATGCCACTTCTACTATTGCAACACCTACGCATGAAAGTATGTACTTAATATCCATAGATTAGAAGTACTGGTAATAAATAATATTATCTTTTTTCCACAGTTAATTCGTAGGGATTTAATTTCTTTCAAGTTTGACGACGGATGGTTACGCGTTAAAGTCCCAGAATTGGTAGAAGTTAAAATAAATTGCCTGGCGACTGAATCCTGTCCCAGTGGCTGGATGATCTATAAGCTTTTTGATTTGACACTAGTAACTAGTGTGATGTGTGTAGTCTCCCCTTTGGTGTAGAATGAATTCTATCAGTTAGGTTTGCAATGTGGCCACCATGCCACTAGATAGCTCCCCATCACGGTGCACATTGATTTGATGATATTAGATGGTTGGAGGTAATCGGCTGCAGGAAGCCTTGAACCTAGGTTTCGTGCTAGTTGGCACTCGTTAGCAAGGCGAGCCCGAATAGCTCAGTGGTAACGTCTCTGATTGCAGCACTGGGTGACACGGGTTCGAATCTCAGAAGGGACATGAGTTCCTTCCAGGTTGCAGATACACCTTGCTGACGAGTGCCAACTACAACGAAGCCCAGGTCCAAGGCTTCCTGTAGCCGATTGCCTCCAACCATCTAAGATCTATAAGCTTACCTTGTAACTGGAAGATTCTGGGTTCGAACCCTAGCGGTGGGTACGCACTGCCGATGAGTCCGAAATTCTAAGGGGACGAAACAACTACCCGGTACTCCTTGTTTGTTTGTTTTTAAACGATTCTCTAAGTGATATCAATCTGTGATCACAATTGTATTAATTTTTTTTTAACTATTATTTAATCTCTTCGCCTTACCACTGCGAAATAGGGTTTCAAGCTTCAGCTCTCAAATTTCGGTAGCGGTGCTTTTGCCTTTTACGGGGTGAGGTTTTCAGCCTCAATGATAGGAACCAGCATAAATTAGTATATCGTCTTTTCTCACGAATTTGTGATTTATCTTGTGGTGAAGTTACTATGTAAATCTATCATTTCTCACACGTATATTGTGATTTATTGTGTGACCACAATTCATCATCTTTTGTCTCACCTTAGTCTTTGTCGGATCACCAACCAATCAATCAGAATAGCTATTGACAGACAATGCATAAATATGCTGCGTTGTTTCCTAATAAATATACAATATCTTAGTGCATTGGCGGCACAGCGGTTAGGACGCTCGCCGACCATGCACATGGCCCGGAGTTCGATCCCCGGCCACAGATGCACTCCTTTACCCCGCTAAGCCAGTAATAAAGCCGGTAAAGAGGGAAGGTTGAGTGTGTGGGGTTAGCAACTCTACCCCGTAAAAATAAACACTGCTACAGAAACTTCAAGCCTCTAGCTTGAAGCTCCCTATGTTCCACTGGGAACTTGAAGGAATAAAAAAATCTTACAGACACAGGCCAGCCTTTGTCTGTTGAAATTTGCGTGGTCCCGTGAAGCGGGAGATTCAACGGACGAATAGACGTATTAGCGTATCAGTCGAGTTCATTACGGTTACAACAATTAGCGACGCAGAGATAACACTCACTCCCAAACTTCTCTTCCCAACGGCCTTGCTACCGGCTGAGCGAAGTTTAGGAATGCTTTGGGAAAGAAGCGAACTTCGGACTATGTGTATGGTTGGGGAGCATTCAACCACCGAACCATCGACGCAAACATTGATAGTAGTAGTGTGGCCCTTGTCTTCTGTTGTTACATTTGGTGTCGCTGACTACCGACATATTGAAAGCCAATGTCCTGCAGTTTTTGATGGAAACCTATGGATCTTCGGGCAGGACGTCGGGGCTTCTCTGTGCAGTTGAGAGGCTTTCAAGATCTGTAAGCGATGAAGCTGTTACTTGAGACGCTGCTAGGAGGTTTGGAGAAAGCAACATATGAAAGTGTGAGGCGAAATACCGACGAATATGCGACAGGGTCAGGCAAACAGTTTCCAAAGTGCGAAGGACCACATATGATCACGTTGAGATGGGGTTACGCAGACACAATCGCAATGGTAAGCAAAGAGGAACAAGTGAACATCAGCGAGCTTCGAGATTCAAGACAACAAGACAAACGAACAAAGCCCCTAGAACCAAGAAGACCGAACCAACTTCAGTCGCAAGTCTTTGACGGGGGGACGAGTGTGATGAGAGATGACTGCTAGCCAAATTGTTGGTAGACAGTAATTTACGTCAATGTTTATGTCCTGAATATTGGTCGTGAGAAAAATAAGAACAAAGATTGATTCAACAACCAACGACAGCAGACTTTGTTTGCGTGGGCGGATACAATTTGCAGATAGACAATCTGAACTTCAATAAACTGAACTTTCACAAAGGGATGAAAGATTAACATTCAGCGAGAAACCACCAATCAGATGACGGTGTTTATCAGCTAACAATAATCTATAATAATGTACATAAAAATCTATAAATATCTGTTGATTTCGTAAATAAACGATCTATTGCCTGACTTTAGTCTTCTGTCATTACAGTAGTACTAGTAATAAGAATAGAATACTTAACAGCTTACCTTTTTAGCCCTTAACTTTTCTTGTAACTGATCCCTCCAATTTCCACGACTCGTCTCTTCTACCGAAGTTGATAGCAGCATAGGTGGAAGCGGAGGAGGGGGAGGTGGGGGTGGGAGTAGCGGTGGCGGTGGTGGTGCTATTGATGAAACGCAAGTTGAGCTGATGTTAGCCCCTTCTGATTTATTATACATTTTCGTCTCATCCTGTTTTGCAACACTCGATCGACCGGTATCACTTTCACCATCTGCATCAGGACGATGCGGTATACCACTTCGATCTACATCAGATACACTTGATCTACTCATTTCTTGAGCTAATATTAACTGGGCAATTTGTGATCTTAATCTGGACAGTTCTGCTTCTAACTGAGTGATACGATTTGATTGGGAAGCTTTTGTGGGATGCCGCTTGGAAAGTGCACCAACATCACCATCGGAGTCTGTAAATGAAGTACTATCGTGCATACTGCTAGCTGTAGGTGTTCCTGACAGTTTTCCTCCTCCTAATCGTCTTCCTAGTAAGGGGGGGTAAGGGAATAAGGATAAAAAACAATTAAATGGGCAAAAAGGTAGTTAAACTATAAAAGGTAAAAACACCTTTATTCAAAGGTAGTAAGACATATTAAATAACGCATTAAAGTACAAACTTTTACTACTGTTTATCATTCTTATTAAAAAACAAATCTGATACATTATGGGGGCACACACACACACACAAGAGATGAGCTACACAAAACCACATAGTTTAGTATGAAGGCTATCCGGGTGCCTAGACCAAAGCACTCGGTTGCCGCCACCTTAAAGGACTACCTGTTGAGCTGTTGACTTGAATTCTGGTCCACAAGGCAGTAGAATAGCGTTAGTGTGTACCTTCTCTGACATCAAATCTCTCCCTCTCTCTCTACTATTTGATGTGTTTTTATTTTGAACAAAGCAAGAACTACAGTTTTAGCACAATAATCTGGTACCATCATTGCTTATTTCGTTGCCTTCTCGTCATCTGCTAACAGGCCACAGTCATTATTAAATATATCTACAAAAGGAATTTTAACATACTTGCATAGAGTTCATTTTTAAACAATATATGCATACAGTAATTATATATATAATATTGAACACTATTCCGAACAATAATAATCATACACAATGGAAACTTTTCAGCATTACGTATTCGGATGAAAGAGAGATGAAAAATATCCAGTTACCAGGACAAAGAAAGACTGAAAACCGCTTCTTTCTGGACACATAAATCAGGTTTCAGGTGCTTGATGGAAATGGCTTCAGCGAACTTGAGGAGAATTGAACTTTTTTGCCTGCTGATAACTTTGGACAACTTGTCGACGTTCACCCTATGATGCGTGCCAAGGAGATGTCTGGCGATAGCACTGTTTAATGCGTTTATTTCCTTTAGAGATGTGCTTTTTTGGTATATGTTCAGAAAATCGTAGATATGCTCTTCTTTCTGTCCTTCCAAAATTATCAATAAACAGAAGAGCTCAATTCTCCTCAAGTTTGCTGAAGCCATTTCCATCAAGCACCTGAAACCAGATTTATGTGTCCAGAAAGAAGCGGTTTTCAGTCTTTCTTTGTCCTGGTAACTGGATATTTTCATCTCTCATTTGAATGCGTAGTGTTGAAAAGTTTCCATTGTGTATGATTATTATTGTTCGGAATAGTGTTCAATATTATATATATATATATATTAGTGTAATGATGGTACCAGATTATTGTGCTAAAACTGTAGTTCTTGCTTTGTTCAAAATAAAAACACATCAAATAGTAGAGAGAGAGGGAGATTTGATGTCAGAGGAAGTAAATGATACAGCGTTGATAAGGTAGGTACATAGGAGACGTGAAAGGAATACAAAGAAAGACAATATGATGGAAGGCCAGAAGTAGTACAATACGGAAGATCTATGCAAATGGTGCGTTGAAGATAAGGTGTATACAATTTCGGTATATAGAGATACCAAATTCCCTGATAAGTATTCCTTTACCAAGTCTCTTGTCTTTTACCGTTACCGTTGAGTTCCCACGGTTGTTGGTAAACAAAACAGGTTCATGCGTCAAATTAAAAGATTATATGTGTAAAATTTTAAGTCTGTAATGTTATGTAATTCCATGTTATCTTTGCTTGTTAGATATACTGTCTGTCTGTCTGTTTTCGACATAGAACTTTGCATATATGTGCGGAAGTTCAAGTCGCCACACTCTATTTAACACACAAAGCAAGAGAAGAAAGTAGAAGAAATGCATAATAGAGAGAGACAGTAAACAGAGGTGTGAGACAAAGGAATAGTAGTAACGAAGAACAAAACAGTTTCATTGGAAATCATAAGTTACAAGGAGTGGATGCATCTGCGTTAGCCATTGAGAACGATTTTGAGCCATATCACTAATTGTTTCCAGCCATTGATGTCTACCGTCCCGAGGATCCCAACCAGGATGCTAGTCTACACCTTCCTACGTGGTTTACTACAGTATTATTTTTATATATTTTAAATATTCACTGAAGATAGATGCCCATTAAAAATCTAAAAGACGGATTAATGAACAAAGAATATTCTTTGCGATCGATTCTTCATCATTAAGTACTGCGACTGGATCAATATAGACACATTTTCACAGCTTTCCTCTTCGACGGTATAAGAGAAATGCGGTAAACAATCTCTCACAGCTGATAGAAGAAGATGCGATGGAAGAAGAATGTAAAGTTGTACACGACACGATAATTGCAAACAGCTACCCTGAAAACCAGCAACAATGTATATAAAACAAGAACAACAGTGGTTTGTGCATAATAAGAAGATGGTACCATCATTCATTTCGTTGGCTTCTCATCAGCTGCTTATATCCTAAATAAATTATTAAATTATTATGTACAGGAAATTTTCAAAATACTTGCAAATTTTACATGATGTAAGTTATCAATAGACAAAGAAGCTCGATTCTCCTCAAGTCTCCCGAAGTAATTTCTATCGAACGCTTGAAACCAGATTAATGTGTTGAAAAAGAAGCAGTTATCCGTCTTCCCTTGCCGTGGTAACTGGATTTCTTTATCCTCTCTCGTTCATTTCACTACGTAATCCCTGGCTTTACTCTCTTCCCTTTGATATAGTGTAATTTTGCTTGTCTCTTGTTTCTATGATTTGAGGTGAACTCAGTACATTGTTACCTAATATATTAGTCACTCAGCTATCTTATGTATTTCTCGTCTTTATTGCATAACTCCTTTATCATTGTATGCATACATTTACTTTGTTTAAACTTGAACTGCTTGTATAAAAACTATTCAAGCGTATTTTGTGAGCACTGTTCGCGAATTCTAGAACCTTCTGTCAACTGGCATCATGCAAAATTTGTAAGTATGTTAAAACTTTCTGTACATGAACTTAATAATAATAATAATAATTGATTTAGGCTGTAAGCAGCTGGCTGATGAGAAGCCAACGAAATAAACAATGATGGTACCATCTTCTTATTCTGCACAAACCGCTGTTTTTGTTCTTTTTTTTTCCTTCACATTCCCAGTGGAACATAGAGCCTCAAGCTAGTGGATTGAAGTTTCTGTAGTAGTGTTTGATTTTACAGGATGGGGTTGCTAGCCTCATGTCCAACCTTTCCTCTTTACCAGTCTCATTACTGGTTTAGCGAGGCAAAGGAGTGCGTTGGCCGGGGATCGAAACCCGGGCCATGTGCATGGTCGGCGAGCACCCTAACCGCTATGCTACCGACGCACTGTTCTTGTTCTTGCTTTATTCAAATTCATCAAGGGGAATATATGTATGAGGAACCGGCGGCAAGTTGACCAAATCGATTCAAAGAAGGCATAATATTGACCGTTAGTAGAAGCCTATATTTTCCTCACAACCTGTTGTGATCCCCCATCTGGAAAAAAGAGTACGTAGGCTAGCCACCTGTAATTAAATCTATCACTTCAACTGCTCCTGTGGAGACAGTTGAATTCGCCATCAGTAGCTCTAGAAACTTGATTACTCGTGCTCGGAAACACACCTACCAGTGAGGCTAAAATAAAGGTGTTGTTAAAACCACCAACACTTCCTTCAAACAAGCCACAAAGCTGGCTAGCATGCATTGAAGAGTCTTTCTCTACCACCATTTATCGGGTGTCGAATAAATTACCAAAGACCTCTATAGATATCGAATACTTCAAATAGCAATGGCCATTGCAATTCGCTGAAATCATTCAGAGCTCTGTGTGCTAAAGAAACAGGTCCAGTCATCAGTCACTACTGCTACCCTGGCCTACTTACTGTCATTCATTCATAAATTCTGTGTTACTACTTCCCTTAACCTATCTGATAGTCAATCAGTTTAGTGTTATGCGTTAATGTATATGATCTCTCTCTGTCTCTCTTACTGATGCTTTTGAAATGTAATCACCAATCGATACTAACTATTGATTCAATGTAATTTAAAACAGAGAAAACAGAGGTGATGAAGATTCCTGGTCAACAACAACAGACAAAAATCAGCATAAATGGAAGGAACCTGAAAGAAACAACCCCCTTACCTACCTATCTGCCTGGGAAGCATCATTTCAACTACAGGTGGAACTGACGAGGATATCAAAGCAGGGATCGGGAAAGCAAGACAAGCTTTCATTACTCTCAAGTCTGCGTGGAGGTCAACAGCATTCAGCATGAAAAATAAGATCCGGATTTCCAACACCAATGTGAAGTCAGTGCTACTCACTGTACGGATCAGAGACTTGGCGCGTCATAAAGAGAATCTCCAACAAACTACAGACCTTCATGATATGTATCCACATGATGTGTGCTTTGTTTTTGACAGTCTATTATATTTTGCTATGTGTATATGGATCGATATTTCATTATAACTGACAATACGACTTTGTCTGTCCACTAACTAGATAAACATGTATGACCTTGTTATCACATGACATTACAACCAATCACGGTAAGACGACTGTCTTATTGGTTCATGTGTATTAGTCATTTTCTTATATACTTTCGGACTGTGTACTTGTTCATACTTGTTCCAACGCTTCGTACACTACGCTACATTTCACTCACACTCTTGTGTGACATTTATTTTCCTTGTCTGGAAAAATACATGTATCATCGTAAACCTGGTGGTCTTCTGATTTCCCTCTTTCCGCGTCAGGACTATTAACTACTCGACGAGTACATAACATAATTGGCGACGGGGAAAACTCGATTAACTCACTCAGCAGCAGTACATAACACTTCATTAACAGTTGTCTTCGCTCAATACTCAAGATCAGATGGCCGGCCAGAAAAGATCAGCAACAAGGATCTCTGGAAGCGAACCAACCCAGAAGGAACCGATTGTGCAAGAAATATGCTGAAAGAAATGGAGATGGATTGGCTGGCCATACTCTGAGGAAACCATCAAGTGACATCACTAGACATGCCATCGCTCGAGTGAAACCCGAAAGGGAAGCGGCGAGTATGTCGTCAGTGTGAGGGTGTCTTGGAGGAGGTCATGTGAAGAGGAGGAGATGAAAGCATGTGGACAAACCTGGAGCCAGGTGAAAACTTTAGCAGCAGAGAATCGAACACAATGGAGACGTGCAGCTGAAGCCCTATGTTCCTCTAGGAATTAAAGGAAATAATAATATCTTAAAACAACACCGATGTTGTTGATAAAAAAAAATTTCTTTCATTATTATGGTCATGTCAATGTAGAACCTGATGATGAAGAAGAAGAAGAGGTTATCGAAATTCTGAATACTCTTCGTTCATTAATCAGTCTTTCGTTTTTTAAAAAAATGAATTATTTACCTTTCATATTTCTTCTACGATGATGATGATGATGTTTTCGACCACGTTCTGTTTGACTGATTATTGGCTCAGTTGTATGCAATGACGTTTTACCATTATCGTTATTCTGGCGTAGAGAAGGCTGAACAGGTTTTGATGGTAAATTCGGTGAACTGGTGTGTACATTTGAAAATGAGCCAATATAATAGACGGGGACATCAGGATGCTGAGAACTGGTATTTAACTTCACAGAAGAAGAATAAGAGTGTGGAACAGGAACTCGTCTTTTGACTGTCAGACAATTGGATGTAGCCCACTTGGGTATAGGACTTAAGTGCAGTGCTTTACGACCAACAATGTACACATCGTCGTCATCCTCAACATCAAAATCTGCAGAACTTGAGGTATACAACTAAGAGAAAAAAATTAATTAGCGATAACTAGATAGACTGATTTCAAGATATGAGATTATTCAACAAAAAGCTTTACAATTTTCAATTTAAAAGTATTAAAACAATGAGGTGGTGATCACACTAACTATTCAATCAAGTATATATGAATATTAGATCCCGGCCGATAACTGCTACCTTGCCGTGGTGGCCGGGCTTGAATACCGCAATGACCCAACAGGCTAAACTGACTGGAACTCTGTCCCTGCAAGTCCTACCATGTCTGTCTGTCTGTTTTCGACATAGAACTTTGCACAAATGTGCGGAACTTCAAGTCGCCACACTCCGTGTAGCACGCGAAGCAAGAGAAGAAAGTACAAGAAAAGCATAATAGAAACAGTGAGCAGAGGTGTGAGACAAAGGAGTAATAAAGAAATACAAAACAGTTTCATTGGAGATCATAAGTCACAAGGAGTGGATGCATCTGCGCCACTGAGAACGATTTTGAGCCATGTCACCAATTGTTTCCAACCATTGGTTTTTACCGTCCCGAGGACCCCAGCCTGGAAGTCTACACCTTCCTACGTAGTTGGCTTAAACAAACTGTTGTAGATTTCATTGACTGGTGCCAAGTTTTTGTTTGACCGCCGCTAGCTCTTTTCCAGCCTGACCCTACATCCGCTAACATTGCTCGTCGAGGAAGGCGATGACTTGGCATACGTAACACATGTCCTAACCATCTCAATCTTTGTAACTTCACGACTTCGTCGATCAATTTCCCCTGTTTACCTAGCACTCAACTGATGCCTAACCTCAATATTGCTCACCACCTTATTATGCCACTTCACACGGGAGATAGAGCACAGGCACCTATGATCAAAGACAGCTAGCCAGGTTTTTCATGTCTTCCACTCTCAGTGGCCAGGTCTCACAACTGGCGATTAAGGAGGACGGAGCGGACTGATGAGCAGTACACCCGCCCTTTGGTCGATAGCCAGTCGAATATCTCGTCTACTAAGCCAGAGACGGCGTAAACTGGCAAATGCGAAACTAGCCCTCTGTATCCGTGCTGAGATTTCGTCAGCAAGTAGTAAAGATGAACATCGGCTTCATCTGTAAGGTGCCATGCAAAGGGCGAGAGTAGGCGCTTGCGGCTTGAAAGAATGTTCCGCTAAAACCACTGGGTTTCTGAGAGTTTTTTTGCAACTCCTGAATGAACGGCGGTCCATTCCGGCTGGCAGCGAATACAACAATAAGCGAAAGGCGTTCACACGGAAGATTAGACAGTGTTTACGTAACGACCGCGAAACCTGGTGGTGGTCGGAACGTGCGTGTGAGATGGAGTCAGCTGTTGCATCTGGCAACAGTCGGAAGCTGTTCCAACTCATCCGAGCCACCGGCAGCAAGAAATAATGTGTCACCGAGACGGACTGTGAGGTAGATGGCACGCCAATTACCAGCTTGAAAAGACGCCTGGAACCCTGGGCAGAGCACTTCGGGAAACAGTTTAGCTGGCCACCAGCTTCAATGTCTACTGTCATTAGCCCCAGTGTTCCTTGGTCGCTTAGTACCGACCCATCCACCGAAGCGAAGGTCCGTAAGGAACTCCAAGTGTTGAAACGCCATAAGGCGCCCCGCCCGGACAATTTACCCCCGGCTCATTTTAAAAATAGTGGCGAGACTCTCACAATGGCTCTAACTGGGTTGTTCAGGAAGGTATGGGAGACAGAGAGTGTACCATCAATGTGGAACGAAGCCATTATCGTCCCCATCTTTAAAAAAAAGGTCGACGTAATTCGTGTGACAATCATAGGGGTGTCAGTCTGCTACCAGTCGCGTCTAAAATATTGGCTGCTGTCTTGCTTCGCAGACTGTGCAAAATACGTGAAGGATTGATTAGCGAAGAGCAGGCTGGGTTTCGTTCAGGTCGTGGATGCATTGATCATGCGTTCAGCCTTCGTCAGTTGTTGGAACATCGCCACACGTATTGCAGGCCAACGATCGTTGTGTTTCTTGATACTAGGGCTGCCTTCGATTCGTTGGACAAACTGTGCTCTGGAACTGTCTGTTAGAGAGAGGTGTACCTGAGAAATTTGTTATCATATTGAAAGCCCTACACAGAAATACCTCGGGTAGAATGAGGGCACACAACCAACTGTCATCGCTGTTCCCAGCCAACAGTGGGGTTAGACAGGGTTGCCTAATCTCTCCATTTCTCTTTAACTTTGCCATCGATGACATTCTGGAGTCAGCTCTGAAGGATATGCGTGAAGGTGGTGTATATCTGCTACCTGGAGATAGACTTTTCGACCTCGAGTATGCAGACGATATCGTCTTACTGTGCGATAGCATGCAGGCTGCCCAAATCACACTTAATCAGTTGTCGATCAGTGTCTGTAAGTATGGTATGTGCTTCACGCCGTCTAAGTGCAAAGTACTGTTACAAGATTGGCAGGAATCTGTACCTGTACTCACTCTTGCGGGTGAACCGCTTGAAGTTGTTGATAAGTTTGTGTACCTGGGTAGTTGTGCGAGTGCTGGCGGAGGGGTGACGGATGAGATTTCCAACCGTATAGTGAAAGGTAGAGTAGCATACATCAACTTGAGCCACCCCTGGCGCCGTCGCAATGTTCGCCTAGCTGTCAAAGGTTGGGTATACAATGCTTCGCTGCGGGCTGTCCTGCTCGACACCTGTGAAACCTAGCCTCTCCGAGCTGAGGATGTGCAATAACTCTACTTATTCGACTATCGCTGTATCCATAGAATTGTTTGCGTTCGAAAGCATCATTGTGTGGATAATTCTGTGGTCCGACAGCCTGTATTTGGATACAGCAGAGATCACCAGTCATTTAGTGTCGTCATCTGGAAAAACTAGCTTCAGATGCTTGGATATGTGCTACGAATGTCATCCTACAGGCTTCTGTACCGCCTTCTGTTCGCTAGCCCTAGGAGTGGATGGAAAAGGCAGAGAGGTGGTCAGCCTACGACATGGCGTCGTAGGATGAAGGATATTTGTGTTCAGTTAGCATCAATCGGTATAGCACGACTACCTGGTCGGGGTCCGAGAGATAGCTCAAATCGATGGCTCGAAACACTATCGGATATGGCCAAGAATCATAATCAATGACGAACGTGTTGCAATTTCCTTCTTTCTTCCCTTCCCGATGATAACGAATACTGTTTGAACTTGTTAAGCATGACTGTTTTCCTTCCAGATGAAGTTCTTTATCAATTCTCTACTTATATATTTTTTTCTTTTCTTTCTTTTGATCTGTGTTGTTTTATTATTGTGTGGCGCATCCTTCTTGGTGCCATTTTGTACGAAGTTTTTATGCGTTTAAATAAATAAATAATACATTTATTCCCCTTAATGAATTTGAACAATGCAAGAACTACAGTTTTAGCAGAATAAAATGGTACCATCTTTTATTTCGTTGCCTTCTCGTCAGCTGCTTACATGGCAAAGACATTATTAAATATATCTACAACAACAATTTTAACATACTTGCACAGAGTTAAGTTTAAACAAAAATCAATCGATCAATATACGCATACACTAAAAATATATACATATATAAATATGCAATATTAACCACTATTCCGAACAATAATAATCAAACACAATGGAAACTTTTAGCATTTCACATTCGGAGGAAAGAGAGGTGAAATTATCCAGTTACCAGGGCAAAGAAAGGCTGATAACCGCTTCTTTCTGGACGCATAAATCAGGTTTCATGCGCTTGATGGAAATGGCTTCAGCAAACTTAAGGAGAATGGAGCTATTTTGCTTATTGATAATTTTGAACGACTTTTCAACGTCCACCTCATGACCCGTGTCGAGAAGATGCCTGGTGATGGCACTATTTAAAGCATTTGTTCCCTTTAGACGTAAGCTTTTTGGTACATGTTCAGAAAATCGTAGATATGCCCTTCTTTCTGTCCTTCCAATGTAACTGCTCCCGCAGATACATGTAAATTTGTATACACAGTTGGAGGTAACATGAGAAGGATATCTATCGATTTTCGATTGCACCAAAGAGTAAGTTGTTCGATAGACGGGAACGAGCTTAGCTGCAGGATACGCTATGGCTAGTGATGTACTCAGCCTTCTGTTGATCATCGCTGCAATATTTTCACCTTTGTAATCAAGCTGAAGGTAGACTGGCTTTTTTTCCACTGTGATTTGTTTTACTCTTTTGACTTCAGATCTTCCATACTTGTTGATGAACCTTTGAGGATACCCATTTCTCTTCAATATATTTTCAAGGAACTCAAACTCCTCCTCTAGTTTCTCTGTAGAGCATATTCTCCTTGCTCTATAGTACAAAGTTTTGACCAGACCACGTTTAAAGCTATGTGGACAAAAGCTATTAAAATGTAAGTATTGTCCTTTCCATGTGGTCTTTCGATAAATTGACTTTTGAAGACCACCGTCTTCTAGGCGTTCCATGGCTATGTCGAGGAAGTGAAATTTTCCGTCACTTTCGTGTTCCATAGTGAAGTCAATATTGGCGTGTGCACCATTGAATAATCTTAGTAAGCGTGAAGCATGACTTTTATTTTTGCACACTATAAATGTGTCATCAACATAACGACAGTAGGAGGATGTTTCGTCGATTGCATGCTTCAGCTTTGTTCTTTCAAGGTTAGACATGAAAATATCTGCTAAAACAGGGCTAAGTGGACTGCCCATAGCTACACCATCTATTTGGCGGTAAAACGTGTTGTCAAATAGGAATTGCACATCCATGGTGCACATAAGCAGTAGGCGTTTGAATTCAGACTCTGGGAGTGGGAGAAGATCGGACTGCTGACAGATGATTTCAATGGTTTCATTGACTGGAATCATTGTGAATAGGGAGGTTACATCAAATGACACCATGAAGTTATTTAGAACGTTCATGTGATTCACACTCTCAGAGAAATGAAATGAGTCTTTCACCGTGTGCACGCCTAGCCGTTGACGAATAGGCTCCAACTTCTCCGCAAGCCAACGTGCCACCTTATGTTGGGGCGAGTTGAT